CCCCCCCCGGCAGCACTCTACGTCTGCTCATTAGCGATGTACATCTCCGTTGCGATCCCTTCTATCCGGACTGTCGTCGACCCCCTACCCGAAGACACCCCACAAGACAGGGAAGACGCGCTCGGCGTGCTGGGCGCTGCGAACGTCATAATCGCCTTGCTGCTATTTGGGATCCTGGGTCTGCAGGGGGGGATGGAGTATGCGAAAGCGCTGGAACTGAGGGAGACGAAGAGGCTGAAGGATGAGGAAGTGAGGGAGAAAGTTGTTCAGGGAGAGGAGAAGAAGACGCAGTGATGTGTTTGTTACTCTTGTTTGCGTTCCTAATCCTATCTATGTATCTTGTTATATTCCCCGAGATAATCATGGTCCCTACTTCAACCCTCTGATGACTCCCTCCTCCTCCTCCTCCTCCTCCCAACTATCCACATTCCTCCAATGGCTCTCCTCCAACAATGTCCACATAGATCCCCGTATCCAAATTGTCCACACCCCCAAAACAGGCTACACCGTCCAAGCGCTCAGTGACATACCCTACGGCGTCCGTGGTACGTCCCCCCTCCCTCTGCCCCTACACGCACAAAACGGCAGCTCACCAAACACCAAGTGAGCAAAACCCCAAAATCTGCAGTCTTGAGCGTCAGGAACTGCACGCTCTCGGACACCCTCTGGCCGTTCCTGAAACCGCTGGAACCGAACATAGCGCTCTCTATCGCCCTCCTCTCCGAACAGGTACGCTTTCTTCCTAATTCCTAATTCAAGTCAGCGCGATGCTTACGGCTCATGACAGCTGTTGGGGAGGGACAGCCGGTTCTGGGGATATCTGCAGTCTTTGCCTGAGGAAGCGGATATTGCCTTGTTTTGGAAATTGAAGGGGCAAGATGGGGAGGAAGCGCTCCTCTGGCTGCAAAACACCGAAGTCTCGGCCATACTGCGTACTTCGCTACTCGTACGCCCCCGCCCCTCCATCCCTCATTTCCCGTAATCACCAACATAAACCAAACAGGCAGACCTCGACCGCACATACACGCAAGTCGTCCGCCCCGCCCTAGCCCAGTGGAGCCCAACGATCGACCGGTTTAGGAAAGCCTACTCCCTCGTCTCGAGCCGGGCGTTCCAGGTCGATTCCTGGCACGGGGTTGGGCTTGTTCCTGTTGCGGATGCGTTCAACCACTCGGAGGAGAATGGGGTGTTTATGGAGGTGCGTTCTCCTGTGCCTGAGCTTTGGGCTTTGGGCTTCGCGCTTTGGGGTGCATGCAGGCTTTGAGCTAACTCGCAAAAGACAGATTTTGCCGTTTGTACACAATGCGGTTCCCTCGGCCCCTGCGCACATCCAGAGCACACACCACCTCATTCCTCCCCTTGGGACGAACCCATGACCTGCGATATGGTGACCTATGCGCCTCTCAAGGCTGGGGAGGAAGTGTTTAACTCGTATGACGAGAAGGGGCTGGGGAACGCTAAGCTGCTGGTGTGGTATGGGTTTTTGCTCGAGGGGAATGGGGAGGATCGGATTGGGTTTGAAAGGGAGGTGGAGGGGGTCTTGCGGGTGGGCGGGGGAGAGGGAGAGGGAGAGGGTGAGTGGAGCGGGAAGAGGTGGGAGGAGGTGAGGGACGTCGCCGCTGGCTTTGGGGAGGAGCTGGAGGAGCTGGAGGCGGTCGTTACCCCTTCTGAATGGGTGGAGGTGGGCGAGGAAGAGGACGAGACGGAGCCTGGATCGAGCTGGATCGACGCTGAGGGCCGGGTGTCGCTCGCCCTTTTCCTCCTGCTTTTTGCTAGGAACTCGACCGAGGAGAGGGATATCGCTACCCATCTGCATCTTGTGATCTCGGTTATGAAGCTGCTTGATCAGCCGGGGGAGAAGGAGACCGTGCTGGCCGGGATACCCAGCGCGGTACTCAAGACGCTCAAGGGCGTGGCAAAGGATGTACAGAGGTTATGTGCCTCGAAAATGGAGAACATGTACCGTCCGGAACTTACGACATCGGACTTGGCTGCAATGCTTGACGTAAGTCCTTTCCCCTTCTGGTGCGTGTTTATTTTGAAATGGCATAGACCCATCTGGGACCACGGACGAAGCTCGCTGTGTCTTACGTCGTTACCGAGCGGCTGATGCTCGAGACGTGCTCAAAGCGGTGGCAAGATCTGGCAGAGAGCCTGAACGAGTAACCTTACTGGACCAAAGCATGAACATGGCATTCTGGAACCCGTGTACGACCCTGAACGGGTTATTTCCCGCCTTGGTACCTGTTCAGCATACACAGTTTCGAAGCGAGGACTTGTAGCGCCAGGAGTTTCGAGACTGGCAAAACGTCAAGCATCCCCTCATAAACCGCAGCGACTCCGACTCTGGACTCACAATACCGCGCTCCCTGAAAATCACCTCCAAAATACCACAAGTTCGGATCTAGATACCGTCAGCATCATACCATCTACGTATTAGCAAGAGCGACATACGACCGCTATCACGATACGTTCCGCGTACGTTGCCTTCGTCGTCCATCCCCCATGCCTGCTTCAGGCTCTTCCCTTCTTCCGCGCCAAGCAACGCCATCGCCGTGTCGCGCATACTGTGCAGGTCGTACCTGAAACCCGCTCAGCTGCTGAGATATTGGGTTTCGGGTACGGGGTTAGACCCACCCGGTTGCGAACACGACGAGATCAGCTGGCAGGTTGGTGCTGTCTTCGAATATGAGCCCATTTAGGGTGAAGCACTTGACTGGGATGCCTGATTTGACACGGATCTAGCGCGCGGTTATCCCATGCACCCACATAGGTTGTACGCGTTTACCTTGCCGTCGACAATCAGCTTAGATGTTCCTGAGTTCAGATAATGGCCTCCTGATCTGGGTTAGACTCTTTTCTATTGAAGAAGAGAATTAGCATGTACCAAACCGCTCAAATACGAACGTGCTTCTATCGGGTGGCTCAAGTCTGAACCCGGCTCTGATCAGGCCTTCGTTCACCGCGCTGGTCTCCATCAGCAACCATAGGATGTAGGATGGCAAGAGAGGACGACTCACACGACCTCCTTGTTGAGCACTTTCGGAGGTATGCTTGCGAGCAACGTTGCGACCGGAGGTGCGGTGGACTCCATCAGATCGTCCGCCCTCTCAACGGGTATACTCTCGTTGTACAGCCCTGGTCAAAGCTCATGCAAGGCTCTCGGAGCTCTCATATCACATACTTCCAAGTTTGGCATTGGTCAATGCTTGATGTGTTACCATCGTCGGATTACGCTGGATCATGCTCACCGACGCTCCATGATTGTAGAGGTCGCGTGCGATATCGTGACCTACGAAGTTTTGAAAGCCAGCCAGTTGCTATTGTCATCGGCCTACCAGAATTCCCACAACCCACCACGATAGCCTTCTTGCCGTCCCAGCCTTGCCCATTCTTGTATTCACTTGAATGCATCGCAACCCCGCGGAATAACGCCTGATATATATCAGGCATGACCAAGAGCTGGGAGAGAGACCCACCGCTCCCGGTACGATCGGCACTACGGGGCGCAATCCGTTGATGCCTGTTGCAAAGACAAGATGGGTAGCTCGCATCATTTTGGACGACTCCGGCCCGCTGAGCACGACGTCCCAATACCCTTCTGGATGAAACTTTGCCGACTGCACCGTCGTCGAGGTCATCACGTCGAGGTGTGTCTCCCTTGCGTACTCTTCCAAGAAATCGGCCACTTCGTCCTTTGTTGGTAGGAGGGAACTCTCCGTGGGCCAGTGATGGTACGCGAATTGGGCTGCCACACCATTAGTCAAAGCACCAGAACACATATCCTGGGTGCACACAATACCACTTGGGAAGCAGCAGCTTGAGGGTGTCATAATGCCGGCGCCATTGATCTCCGACCCGACGGTGTTGTTCGATAACGAGACAAGATAAACCCAGAACACGAAGGGCGGTTGCGGCCTGAACTGAAACACCGAAATCAGAGGAAAAGGTAACACGCCACATGACAGACTCACGTCCACTCTGCCCGGCACCCAGAACTAATACGTCAATCTGATCCTGTGGCAATACGTGATTCACAAGGAGATTTGAGCGATCTTCTCCATGTGTCTTCAGAGCGGCAATCTTCGTGAAAACAGTCCAGGCTTTCCAGATATCCGTCTCCTCGTCGAAGACAAGCTTGACAATGGCAGTATTAGAAGACTTTTCCGTGTCAAAGGTATACGTTGCTTGAATATAGACAAGGTTTTCTGAGGCAGTGGGTTGCACAGTCGCGTTTTGCAACGTGAAGTCGGACAAACGCTCTTCGGCAATTGTATAACTAAGTAAGTCACTGATCTTGTCAATAGAATTGAAAGTTCGAATATCCCAGGTCAACGCCAGATGATCTGTCCACCATGGGGCAACATCGTCCACCAAGATCTCGCCTAAGTTGTTTGAAAGGTTGGATGGCGCCTGAATCGCAGTGTTGAACCTCGTCGCCCAGTTGCTTGCGATTTCAGAAGGTACCAATCCGCTGATATTGATGGGTTTGTTCAAGCACGGAAGCTTCAGAGCCATGGTCTTTCAGGGAGGACTGTCAAAAATCTGGATCGTAACAACATTTGATTTTTCAAGTGTTACGAGGGCGGCAGTGAAGACTTGTGCGTAATATTAGGCTCGCCTCAGCAGACATCGGATCCGTTGTGCGGGCGTCGCTTGGGTGACGTCTCGGAGACGTGTTGGACGTTGATGATTACCTGTTTTTCACAACCTGCAAGATTGACATGCTCGGTATACAACTCGTACAGTACTGACTTCCCTGACCTACTTCCCGCCTTGATATCGTTTCAACAAACCCAACTTTACGGCGAGGATCTGCGATGCCAGGATCTTCGAGACTGGGAGAACATCAGTCATCCCACAATATTAATAGGCAGCGGTCACTGTGCTCACAATAACTTGCTACTTGGAAGTCGCCTCCGAAATACCAGAAGTTTGGATCTATGTATCTTCTTAGAATGGTCTCGATTCCGTTAACGGAGAAGCATACGACCGCTGCCACGATACGCTCCACGAACGTTGCCCTCGTCATCCATTCCCCATGCCTCCTTCAGGTTGTTGCCTTGCTCAGCGCCCATCAACGCTATCGCCGTGTCGCGCATGTTGCGAAGGTCAAATCTGATATTGGATTAGTTGCGGGAGTGCCGAATCTCAGATAGAGCCCACCCGGTTGCAAATACCACGAGATCTGCAACCGACTCGGTGCCGTCCTCGAATGCCAAACCATTGGGCGTGAAACTCTTGATTGGAATGCCGGATTTGACATGGATCTGCCACGATCTCAAAAGATGTTTCTACCAATATCACCGCCCTTCCTCGCCCTCATGGATCCCTGGTGGCCTCCCCCACCCTCCACGCGTGGAGAACACCGCCAATTTCCCAGCATAGCTTCATATGGCATCCATAAGATCTGCCAACTCTCTGTAATGATAAACAAGCGGTTGCCCGTTGGTTTACCTATGGCTCACCCTTCAGTCAAACACCGTTTAAATTTTCTGACCCTTTTTTTCACCGTATATCATATGTATATGAGCTATTAATCTTCAAATCGCATTGAGCATTATCACTATCATGCACATCAATGCAATCCTCCATTGTTGGGACTATTGTGCAGCTCATGCAACCGGCGTCGCTTCCCCGCCCCCACCGCCCCCACCACACCTCCATCTCTCAGGAGACGGAGGTCATCCTCCCCACCGCACCCACCACACCTCCACCTCACTGCAACCATCCTTCAGGCTGTAACGCGGAGCCTTGTGCCGATCCCTCTAGAGGCGCCGCCAGAATCTTGTCCACTTCCAGCAGAGCCACTCTCGAAGGGAGGTCTGCACCAACGGTTTCTGTGGCCCTTTGCCACTCCGGTCATGTCATTTCCGACACAAACAGAAGCTTGGACCGGATTGCGTCGGGAGGGGGATGCGCTCGCCCATGCCGTTGTAGCGTTTGCACGAAGTATCTGTAGCACACAATTAGTCTTTACGTCCATCCAAGTCAAAGATGGGTTTCATTACGCTGAAATCTGGCTTGCGTTTCCGTGGTTCTGCGTATCCACGTCCCGGAGGCAGCGATCCACAAAGGGCCAGAAGTCTTTCTCTACCTTCTCTACATGTCCCCTTGAGTCAGTGACCTCCTTTCCTGCATACATGCGGTGTTTCACCTCGCATCGAGCCTGCCACTTCTTTCAGTTGTTACATCCAAAACGAAGAAAAAGCGCACCAAGAAAGCTAGACACGCTAGATGACGCTCATCAAACCGGAAGGGGTATCTTGGCTTGATCAGTTTCAATTGCAGCTCTTTTAAGCTGCTGTTCCTTGTTTCCTCAAGCTTCACAAGTCACCTTTCTCTCCTCCTATCGCATGATCTGCTTACCTTATCTTTAATGAAGCGCCTGCGTTCCGCAAGCAAGGCTCCCATATCTTTTCGCAGCTCGGTCTGGTGCTTGCCGACCAAGAATGGACTCTCCGGAAGTTTGAGGCGGTCTTTGATGTCTCTGAAATGTCCCTAGAATAGCACAGAGTATATGTCAACTTATTATGCAACAGGATCCATCTACTTACAAACAGCAGGTCGCTAGCATCATCGATGTAGCTAGGACAGTAAGGGCTCAGGAGATAACAATAGATCTCTTTCGCGCATTCGGTCTATCAGATATGACAGTCAGCCTAGCTCGCATCGATGCACACTCCGCACCCTTGAGATCTTTGACATCTTCCAATTGATGATGATACTGTTATTCATGTCTTGTACTGTCACTCGAATGACCATTGATGTCGCATACGACCGAAGCTCCCTCGCCCGCGGATCTTGCTGCAAAACGGGTCAACATGCTATTAATACGCTTAGCCAAATGGCTCAGCGCACCTCGGCTGCAAAGGCCAAAAGCTCATCCTCCAGTTCCTTGCTGTTGAATCCCATTTTCCTCACCAGTTACTTGCCAAGCTGCGTGTAGTCTCTGCCTGCGCGATTATCCGGCCAGCTGCTTGTTCGACTCCACATGTCTGCCGACGCGACCAGCGGGCTTGGACTGTGTGAGCAGATGCTTTGATCCATATCCAGCAATGAGACTCACCGTCTATCAGCTACTCCCCTTTGCACAGTCTCAGGTTCTTCCACTCTCGGCTCTGTCCTCGATTCAATGACATGCGCGGTAGAAAAAGGGTTGTCGCCCTCCTCTTCCAACGCGCTCTCTGACTCCCCCCTTCCTGGCGTTTGTCCGCGTGAAGAATCTGATCCTCCCTTGGATGCTGATCTCCTCCTCCTCTTCTTCCCCCTTCCACGGGGACTGTGACTTAGCGGACGTACTCGGTTCGATTTTTGCAACGGTACATCCTCTGCCTCGTCATCAGTGTCGTCTAGCATTAGAGTCATCGGTTTCTTATCCTTGACGTAGAGTCAGTTCTGGGGAGGGGATTGCAGATGTGCACTTGGGAGGGGATGGCAGACGTGCACAAGAAAGGGCAAAAAAAATAATCTAAAAAGCGGCGTGAGAAGAACCGACAATGCGGATGCAAGGAGCACGTGGCGTCATCGTCTTCGCCCCTTCTCTTGATGTTGATGGTCTTCTGGAAGTGGGCAACCTCGCTCCTGAGGTTGCCCTCATGCAGCTTGGTTCATCGCCGCTCCTCCATCTCTCATCGAGAGACGGGAAGGCTGAGGTGCAGGCTTGGGACATCACACCTCTATCTCTACCAAGATGGAGGGACGCAGTAACTCCTCTCATGATATTGTTATTAGACGTGTACCTATCATCCATCTTCTCAAGGCACAAGTCCAACGTCCCCTTTTGTCACCCTTGGTCAACCTCCCGGCCAGATCTTCGCGAAACTTCTCTGAGATTAGTGCGGGTATGGGTGTGCGGAGTTTCGAAGGTATCATAGTCCTGATTAATGCAGAGTTGTGAAAGCTAAATACGTTCAGCAAATATGCAACATCGTCTCGGTGTCGGATGGCCTTCTGATAGTGCGCTGTCACTTCTCTCTCTTGCAAACGCGGCCTCGTACTGGCTAGCACACAACCGCCCAATGTACAGTCGTGCTGAACATTCACGCAGCATTCGATGAGCTGAATTCTAAGTTGGTTCTCTCATATCACTGGTACTAATAAGCTAGCACTCACCTGAGGGTAAACAGTCATATATGTGCCTGAGGCCACAAGACGCGGGCACATCAAAGCAGGGTGTGAGGCCCCAATGGTGTATCGCTCAAGAAGAACATGCCCGCAAGCAGGAATGAGGGAGTCTGGGGTGGCAGGAAGTAGCAATTCACATATTCTCCCAATGACCTTCTAGAATAGGATCATGTAAGGAATAAGTCTTAGGGCACATAAGAATGGAAACACTTGCCTCACTTGACCAGTCAACTACCACAAATGCATGTAGCTTGATCTTATCAGAGTTATGCACATACATGGTTTGAGCTTGCTGTACAGGAAGATTC